CATCTCCCAAACATCCCTCGCACTTTAGGTGCTTAGGGTGGCCTTGAAGCCCGGTGGGCCGGCCATAGATCCCTTAGCGATGCCCCTTCTGGGGGGCCCTCGGACCATCATGCGGTGGTGTGGCCCGATCCAATGAAGGATCGGGAGACAGGCAAGTACCTAAAAAGAAAATGAAATGGACACAAGAGAAGGGAAAGATGACATAGCTAGTAATACAACGGTCGAGGCCGCTCTGTTAGGGCCTTGCTGATCCCATGCCCGGTCCTCTCGCTCCATCCGTCCTGTTCCCGCCTCACTCGGGGGCCTTCTATGGTAGTTCTCCTTTAGAAAGGTCAGTAGGTGGGTAGCTCAGTCGATCCTCTAGTGTAGCCGAGCTATCGCTAGGGCAGCTCAGGATAAATGAGACAATTATAGAGACAAGCGAAGCAAGAGGGTCGGGAGGACAAGACTTATCTTGGTTTTTGTTGTTGGAGAGGTAGGCCAGTGATGGAGGTCGGCAGGCGAGCCATGGCTCGAGAGACGGTGCCTCTGGGCGGATAGCTTGACGTTGGCCTTCCCTCATGGGGAAAGGTCAAAACTCACCTCGATCGGGTCAACCCCTTCTAGGGGGGCTGAGCGCCTAGATGGAGGGGCCAACCGGGCCACCACTATCGCTCATAACCTTGTTCGCCTTGCCGATGCTCTACGATCGGCGCCGTTGCTTTGTCGCCTTTGGCTTCTTCCTTCACCGGGCGCCCTTCTTGCATCATGGCCAGAGCCATCAGGATCACAGGGGCGATGAGTGCGGTAGTTTGGGCGACACAGTCTTGCTCATAGTAGTAGGCTTGCTCGAAGCTGACCTCGATGGTGATGCCCCGCGTCAGGTTAGGCATCTTGAGCTTCAGGGAGGTGTAGTTGGGGACGGCCATGAACTTGGTGAAGCACGGTTGACTGAGCAGAGTGTGGTACATGATGGGGAAGTCAACTACCTCGAAGGTGAGTGGCTCCTTGCGGAAGTTGTCCGGCTGGCTGAAGGTGACGTTGAGCGGATCGTCCCGAGGGGCATGGATTCCTTCCGGCATGATCCTGTAGAATGGTGCCTGTTGCAGTGCAGTTCTTGTGGGGATGCCCATCATATCAAGGGTGCTGGCGTAGAGTATGTTAAGACTGCTGCCCCATCCATCAGCACCTTGGTGAGGCCTGTGGTGCCCAAGATCGAGCTGACCACGAGTAGGTAGCGCCTCGGATGAGGGATGCTATCGGGGTGGTCTTCTTGGTCGAAGGTGATGGCCCTCAAAACCATTGGAACCATATCGAGGCGGGCGAGGTGTGGTGGCCGTTCACCTCCTGCTTTCGGTGATGCGGCACTACTGGCGGCATTCAGTGGGCACGGGAGCCCCAAGATCATGAGGCAGTGCTTGGCCTCTAGGAACTCGTTATCCTCCTCTTGGGCACCTCCTGCCAGGTCGCCAGCCTTCAGGATAGGCTGCTGGGCCTTGCCCTATTGGCCGAGGGTGCTACGCATGTAGCCCTTCATGGCGGCGTAGCCTTTGAGGAGGTGCTTTGCTTGCCCCCCGTGGAACGGGCAGGGGGCCATGAGTGCCTTCACAAAGTGTTTTGGGCATGCGCCTTGCCCGCAAGGTTGAGGTCTGGCGGTACAGTCGACCGTGGCCACCATCTCCTTACTATAGCGCTTTCGGTCCTTGTTCCTCCTGTCGCGGCGTCGCTGGGATGAGGCGGGGTTGTTGATGCTGTCGCCTCCACTGAGGTGACTGGCGGCCTTGGCCTTGCCGCTGAAGTTGGCCTGGACCGCCTCCTCGCCGGTGGCGTACTGGGTGGCGACATCTAGGAGCTCCCGCGTCGTGCACGGGGTCTCACGGCCCAGCGTGTTGATGAGCGCCTCGCAGGTCGTGCCACAGATGAAGGCGTTGATGACATCGACGTCGCTGGATGTACTCCCGAAGGGTTTCGTTGGGCCTCTGCCTATAGTTGCGGAGATCCCATGAGTTCCCTGGCTGAGTGTACATACTTTGAAAGTGGCCGATGAAGACCAAATGGAGATCGTGCTAGTAGCAGATGATGCCAGGCTTGAGCTGTTTGAGCCAAGCTCTGGTAGAACTTGACAGAAGCAGAAGAAGGCACTGAATGGCAAAGTAGTCGTCTGATCCCCTGGCCTTCATGGCGATGTGGTAGTCCTCTAGCCAGTGATCCAGGTTGGTCTCACCGTTGTACTTGGAGATGTGCATCGGTGGCAAAAAACGCTTGGGGTAGGGGGCTACCCGGATCACTGCCCCTAACACCAGGGGGCCAAAGTGATCTGGGGCAGCATGCCTGCCCTGCCACTCAGGTGTAAGGTACTGTGCCTGAGCGTGGCGCCTGGTCTCGATGGTGTCGTAGATGTCGCGGTCATCGCAGATCTAGTGGTGCATGGGGGGACACCGAGGAGAAAGGTCGCACCTTCGCTCCTGCCAGGGCTTGGCACCCTGAGTCTACGACCAGTCAGAGCTATTGTCGGAGGTGTCGCCGCTGCTTCGCCCTGCATATGGGGCACGAGCGTCGGAGCGGTCCCCGTTGGGAGTAGCCATCATCTGGGATGGCCGGGAGAGCACGGTGCTGCGCCGAGATGTCGAGCTTCGCCTCATTCAGCCGCTCATTGGTCTTTGGGTCCAGCGTGTCGGAGATGTCTTCCAGGCGGTAGGTGGTGGCTGCCATGTTGTACGCTGCGCGAGGGGAAGCAGAGGCCGCTGGGAGCCCTCGTGTGAGCATCGTCATCATCGCTGAGTGGGTGCGCGGCTTGCTGCCATGCAAAGTCCTGCCTTTGGCACTTGAGTTCTGCCTCGGCGGCCTCCAAGTCCACTTGCTGAGCTCGCAAGCGGTCCGCCTTCTCCTGAAGGTAGGCCACGTGGCTGTGGGGACTCTGGTCCGGTGGTGTGAGCCCGGGCGCCTCCTCAGGCAGAACCCCGCTGTCGATGTGATAGAACATGCGTGGAGGGGTATGATAGCCGATTTCGTCAGAGTCATACTCTGAGTCATTCCTTGAAAGGATCTTGAGAAAGGCACGCAACGATGGGAAGTCGGTCCCTGTCGTGCCGGAGAGGATGGTGCTTCACGGCACCTTGCGACTGATGAGGTGCTCCAGCTCCATCTGGAAGGACACCTCTACGTTCTGGATCCCAAAATGCAGGTCTGGGAGGTAGTACCAAAAGTGGTCAGGCGATGGGAGCACCTCACCGGTGGCGATCTGGTGGTGGACGTTGGCTAGCATGTAGACCATTTGGCGGCGGTCCGATACGGTGGGGTTTGGGCCCATAACGTGCCAGATCTATCGGGCCAAGACCTCGAGATCTGCTCCTAGAAGTCCTGGCAGAGTGGGCGACGCCGGGGGCTCGGTGCCCGCCGGTGCAGCTCCGTGGAGTGGACGAAGATCATCGTAGCAGTCGGCGACGTAGGCCAAGCTCCCAAAGTTGAGAACCTGGCCTAGAGCGAAGGTGCCAGCCGTGATGGAGAACTCGCCGGGGAAGCGGACACCACCGTCTGGGGCGGTGCCGCTTGCTCCGGCGACGAGGTGGGTGGCTCCAGCCACCGTAGAGCCAGAATCGCACTTGACACTGCCCCTACCTGGCACACTAGCTGTCGTAGGGTCGGAACCACGGCAAGCATGTTGTTCGAGTCGGTGTTAGAGTACGGGTCTCCGGTGGCTCGGGTGGACTCAAGAACACAAGAATTATAGAGAGAACGCAACAGTTTATCCTGGTTTCAGCCAATCGGTGCCATACGTCCAGCAGCTGATGATCCTTATTCTCAAAAGCACCCAAAATCAGGGGATTACAACAGGGTTGTAGAGAGATTTGTTAGGGGTTTGGCTCAGTGCTAATCCTAAGGTTGCCTCATGGCCAGTGGAGCCTTCCCCTCGTCATAGAGGAGGAAGACGACGAGATGCGATGGAGGAGCTCTCGGTGCCCCTCTGTGGGTTGTCTTGCTCTCGGTGCTGAGCAGAGGCCAAGGAATGGAATGGAATGATATGAGTTTTGGTGATCGTCCCCCCTCCTAGGTTCGACCTTATCCCTTATATAACGAGATAGGTTGGATACATGGCAGTTTGGGGGAACTAGTCTACGGTCTACATGTGTCAGAGTCCTGGAAGGCCTTGCAGCGACGCGCTGTGGATCGTGGCGGTGTCGTGTAGCCGAAGAAGCCTTGGGCGTCGTTCGACTGCTCTGTTTTGACACTCTACGTGTCAGGCTGTGTCAGCTTGGACTGGCCTCCCCCAAGTGGACCTTCTAGAGTCTTATTGGCGGTGAAGGAGGCCGGCTCCAACGGCTGACGCGCGGGCCTAGGAGCCCCTGAGCCTCTAGAGGCTGCTGGGAAGCTTTGTCTTTTTGTGTCGCACTCTGTTCGTGACCTTGTCAAGAAAGTAGCCGGCAATACTGTGCCCATAGAGCAGCGCCGGGGAGCCCCCGAGCCTCGGTAGCTCGGGGCTTGTCGTCCCTAATCAAAATGAACCTCCACTTGATTGAAGTAATAAAGTGCGAGTTCTTAAAAAAAAACATCGTCACGCTTTCTTGGTAATAAAATGCTAGTTCTGTTCAGGGGAAAAAAAACATCACGCTTTCTTGTCTGTTCTGCCCAAGCTAGGCAAGCAACAAATCGAGAAGCATGCTCGAACTCTCTGGCGCCTGGCTATCGATCAGTGGACCCTTTCCCACGGGCGTGGGTCCAAAACAGAAGGCTCAAACACACGCGTATTACGATTGGTTTGGTTTCTTGCGAAGAAACAAACTACGGTCGAGGTCAGGGTGATAAAACTTAGGACGGCGCCGGCCGGTGTATGGAGAAGAGGAAACAAAGGCAAACCCGCGTGGCCGTGGCGCTGCCTTGCGAGCTCCGACCTCACCTAGCAATGGTCCGGCCGCTTTCGTTGCATCCGAGGACCGAGGCTACCGATGGATGGCGAACATTTAACTTGTCCCAGCCGGCCGCCGCCTCCTTGGGACGAGTCCACAGCGCAGCGAACGTAGAAGATGCGTGAGCCAGCGATAGGTTCTGCGGCGGCGACGGCGTCAGAGGCCGCGCGGCTCCTGCTGCTGCCCCTGGTCCTGGTGCTGCTCGGCGGCGGCCGCCACGCAGGGTGCGCCTCGGTCTGCGACACAGCCAACTGCGGCAAGGGAAACTGCAGCGAGACGCCGGGGCCCTTGCCTCCCAACTACGAGTGCCACTGCGACCCTGGCTGGTCCCATGCTTTGAAGCTCATCCCCTTCTCACCCTGCATCGTCCCTAACTGTAACTATTGATCCTGTCCTCCCTTTCCGATCTGTAGCATATACATACTGTCTGTACTACGTAGCTAGTTTCTGTGTGTGATATATGCAGGTTCCTTCAACAGCGCCTGCTTAAACCTCAACCTCAGCCAGCCGCCAGTGCCACCCAAGGGCATACCGGACGGTAAGCTATGTAGCCGCCCCTCTCATTCCGTCGTCTCCTGTTCCCGTGCCCCAGGATCGAGCATGAGCCATCATCATCTTACATTGCGCTGCTCTCTATCGTGTTGGGTGCGCGGGCGCGTGCAGTCTGTTCCGTCGTGAGCTGCGGAGCCGGCGGCGCGTGCAAGGCAGGCGGCGCCCCGTTCAGCTTCAGCTACAGCTGCGAGTGCCGGCCGGGCTACGCCAACCTGCTCAACCTCACCACGCTCCCTTGCGTCAACTGTATGATGACCCGAGTAGCCTGAGTAACTAGTAGTATTAGCTTATTCTCTTCAACTTGTATATGTTTTGCTTTGCCTGCCGGTGCTTCTCCCGCGCAGGTTTCCTCGGCGACGAGTGCTACGCCCTGGGACTCGGCCCCCCGGCGCCGGCTCCAGCTCCATCCGGTGATCACGGCCCGTCGCCGCCGGGGCCATCTGCTCCTCCCTCCGGCACAAAAGCCAATGCAACTGACAATTCACTAGGTTCAGCTTCTTTGTTTTTTTTTTAATTAATTATTCGGACCTTCTTGGCGCGCGATGGCGTGCACAGCACCGAGTCGTGCACTCAAACTACAGACGTACGTACGTGTGCATTGTTGATGACGCGAGTACCTGATTCTTTGCTGCCATTGCTGCGCATTTGCATCGCAGGCTCCGTTTCGTCCCCAAGTCTTCTGCAGCTGCTATTACTGATGCTGGTCTCCGTCGCTATGGTCCAGGTCGTGTGATTACGTTACAAGGTCTTTCTTCCCCACGAGATTTGCTGCGAAACAGAAAATCAACCAACTTGTCGCCTTCACGATGTGTATTTCACGATTTCTTTTTGTACGGCCTTGCGAGTGCTACGTACTCATTAAGTTATACTTTAGGTTTTAGAATTTTTTATAAGGATACTATGAAATGTATATCCATGTATTGCTACCGGGAAGCCGGAAAGACATGTGTATACAGCATGCATGAAAGTACTCTTATATCACAGTATAATTTGTGTTCGTGTTGATAAACATGCATATTTCTTTCTTTTTGTACTTATACAAAAGTGTGACGTGTTTTGTGCCTTTTCATGCTTTTATTTTAGACAAGTATAAAAGAGTATGTGGAAAAAACTGGATACGATGATGTCAGGTACCTGGGCTACTAATAGTAATTAGGAATTGGGTTGCGTGCACTACATCAGAATAGCACTTCATTGCCGGTTCAAAACACCCCATCATTACCGGATTTTAATCTGGCACAACCATACCGACAGTGATGAGGGTCAGCTATCATTGTCGGTTCCTATAAACCGACAGTGTTCTTCAACTTCACTTTATCGGTTCTAGCTCCGATCCACCAACACCGCCGGTTCATTAGACCACCCGACAAAGTCCAATTCCACCAACACTGCTGGTTTGTGTTTTTAACCGACGAGTGTTGTCATAACGGCTGCTGCCGGTTTTGTGACAAGAACCGGCGGTGATGGATAAGCTTAACGCTGCGGTTTGTGGCTCAAGCCGGCGGTGCCATCTTAACTAACACTATCGGTTTGTTTCTAACCGGCGGTGAAGGTTACGACAACATCTTTGCCGGTTTGTTGCAAACCGGCAACGATGAGCCCGCTTGCGTTTTATTGTTTTATAATTTATTTTAATTTATATTTTTTAAATGGACTCGAGTTTACGCTTTATATACGCTTACGTAGATGACAGGTCCATCAATATTAAACATTACAAATGTTACGATTCTGATTCAAATGTTCTTATCAAGAACTCGATTCCTCAAAATAAAAAAGAAATTATTCGATAAGATGAAGCATGCGTCTCGGACTTCTTACAATAATCTAGCGAGCCGCTCTCTGGCCATATTGGTCCTTGAACTTCACAATTGTGCGATGAAAAATACTCCATCTTTTTCTAATACATCGGCTCGAGATAAATTTTGCCACTCCGATTGCGGTCGACGATCTCCATGTCTAATGACCTTTTCGTGGTTATATTTCTTACGCTGTCGTTCAAAAAAGATGATATCTAAAGAGGAATCAGAAAATCATTTTGTTGAATTATTAACAGACATAAATGAAATGAGGATTATACACACCAACTTATCTGCTTCTTCCGATTTCCCACCGATGTAGCGAAGCATTTCCCACATTACATAAAACCGCATTCATTGTTTCCCGCCGGCTATTTTAGGTACTTTCCTTCCATTTCGACAACCTTGAATAGGACCTACGTCCCACCGATATGTCTTCTTCGGACACTGTGCAACATTAAAAGGAGAAACATTAGAAAGCGGTATGTGTGACTAGAAAATAATATGTTATTAGGATCACTTACTAATTCAGCACTGCCACCAGTGCATCCAGATGATGAAATGGTTTTTTCTTTAAGTCCCACACCTCGATCAGATTTTTAGCAAGATTGACACAAATGAAGACGAAATGGTTGCTGCAATCAAAGAATCCTAATTATCGAATAATCTTAACGAAAAAAGAAACATAAAATTAAATGTCGAGAACACATACTCGCAGTTGTAGGCTAGAAGTATGTGGGTTTTGTTCTTCATCTTGAATTCATCGAAAACAACAATCAATCTCTCTTTCAAGTCTTCCACGTCACATCCATGGAGGCCTAAACATGTCTTCTCATTGATTTGCAAGGGGTCCAAGAAGCCTATGTTATCTCATTTGCTTTTTAGTATGCAAAATTTTGCTATACACCTACATAAAATCATGGGAATTGGTCAAAAGTTAACAATTTATGTCTCGAGAGAGTAGTTAATTATAATATCGTGCGTGTAGGGTACTTATATAGTCTACAACGCCAACATTTGTGAATTGAGAGAGTGTTTCTGGTATAGCTGGAACAAGCACTCCCACTCGACATCGAACTTCTCTTCTTCAGGATAATGAAAAACATGTGGCGAACGGATAATAACCTCAAAACCAAAGTCCTCCGTCTCTGTTGCTTGAGCCATGTAATATTGATGCAACTGGCACATATATGTTGTCAAATTTTTATACTCGTCATCAGGAACCAAAAGATTGCCCCTTTCATACTTCATTGCCGGTGTTCCCATCCCTTGTACATCATAATAGATGTTCACGGCCTCTTCCATGGTTAATTCGGGGTTGTCTTCGACGTACTTCTGTATCTTCCTTAAATCTTTATTGTGTATTTCATCGGCTCTTATTGTAGCGTACTGATTCTATGTTTGCCTTTTGAATTCGAACTTCAACAAATACGGAGGTAGTGAGGCACAGAGATTGAAGAAACTAACACAATCTCTATTGGGAGATGGTGAGTGATCATCACGGGTGGGCGAAGACTCATAGTCGTCCTCATCATCAGAGGTCAATCAGTGGTCAAGCTTAATGAAGCGCTTATGTCAGGCCACTTGAGAGACCTTGTTATGAGCAAGTTTTGGCCTGTCTTCCATTGTGGGGTACTCAATGTGTATCTTGTTATACTTCTTATCAAGTATTCTATCAATGGTGATGCGAGCGTACCCCTATAGAATTGGGCAGCCATTAATGGTCCCGTCTCCCGTAGGCCAGGCCTTGCCGAGTGCCACCTTGTCCTTTATCCATTCCTGACGGATGTACAACTTGACATTGATGGGTTCAGTGATGCCATTCACCGGATGAGGCACATTCGCATCTTCTTCGTCGAGCGGGGTCGATCCGCAGCTGCTGTGACCCCTAAACTGTGGGCTAAAGGCAGTAGGAGTAGGGTTTTATGGTACTCCTGACCCCTTGGATAGCAAAATTTGTTGGACTCATGCTTCAACAGTCGTGTCAATTTGTGCATCCATTCTGTCTTCTATCTCTTTTAGTCACCTCAAATACTCTGCCTCCTGATTCGCTCTACCCCTCGAGCGGCTCTGGTAAGTGTTAGATTCTTGGGGGAATGCTAGTTTCCAAGGAACAACACCGGTTCCTCTAGTGCGACCAGGGTGCTCCTTGGTTCTGAGTGCTTGGGTGAGCACGTCTTTCTCCCTATTAGAAGTGCGAGTCCCTTGCCTCACCTCCTCAGTTACCTGGGAGATCCTCTAGATGAATTCGCTCATGGGTTGATTTGTGGAGCTAAAGCTCCCATCCTCGGCGTGCCGTATATTCCTCCCCATACAGTATATTACCGATCTAGGCTCTCAATCAGTGGTCTCAACCTGAACACCTTCCTCAGCAAGGTGATCCATCTTTTCAAGTTATGTTTCAAATTCTGGCAACTTTTTGGCGTAGCCACGAGAGCCGAGATGATGAGGATTCATCGCTTTCTGCGAGTTCTCCTTATTCTTCCTGCTCAGTTCTAAGTACTCCTCGAATAACCTATATTCCTTAAAATCCTGCTAGAAGTCCTTCTACTTGCTAAACTGTCCACCATCAAAATCTGGCTCTTTATTTTGGAGGACAAAATTCTTATACAATGTCCCCTTGAAATTCTTGAAGCATGTCCCCATGATTTCTTTTACTTTTTTCTTGACTAACTCCTTGTCATACTCCGTTGGGAAAGTGAAATACTCTAGGATCTTGATATCCCATATGTAATCCTTCTCACTTTCGGGAACCCTCCACGGGTCATCATCTTTCCTAATCCACTTCCTGTACCTAATCGGGATGAAGTCCCTTACAAGTAACCCGAGGATAGTCTTGTATTTGGTCAAAGCTATAGGCGGTGAGAGTGGATCCCTGAATTCATCGAACTCAGTGATGTGCCAATGTGCATTCCTACCAATAGGAATCTTTGACACGTCTCACTTGGATGTGGCCTTCCTGCTACTCGAACCCTCTGCCTCCTTGGCGGTGGAGGCTCCTACTGGAGACACCAAGTAAGCTATGACCCTCTCAATTGATTAGCGTGTGTGGCTACATAGTCACATGAAACCAAAGTTACCTGGCCATCTTGGTCATTTTGACCCAGATCGATCAGGCCGGACAGGGTCCATGGCTGCTCATTCTCACCGTCCTGATTGACACCGTCACCGTTTGTCGGATCATGCGGCTCTCCCGTCCCAGCGATATCAGCCGCTTCTTGTTACCGATCTGTTCTTCGGTGACGGGGTAACAGGCGACGACGAGTCATGGCTGTGACATGATCGTGGTTAGTTTTGGCTGCGAACAACTACTAATAGCATATGTTCATATTATATATATATAATATGTTTAATGCAAAGTCTAATATATAAGTCTACATACAACAAAGTCAAATAATAGCATATGTTCACCTAGAATAAATTCATTGTTTGATTGACCACATACAACAAAGTCCACCTACTGTTCTATGAATCTAAGCCCACATCAACTTCTAAATAAGAAAAGCAATGACCATAGCCATAAATAAAATCATGACATCTTTCCAAGATCAAGGAGCAATTCTCCTAATCTTCACATCTCCGGCGGGTGGCTTCTCTTCAATCTCCAATGCCAGTGGATGGCCATGGTTTGCATTCATTGGACCATAGTAGGCCGGTTGCCCATGGTTTGCAAGGTAGGCCGGATGACTATAGTAGGCCCTCAAAGCTTCAGCGTATGTGTTGTATTTTTTGTGCAAATTACCAGGGTAGCGATTAACTTGAGCATAGCAATCTTCCCAGGTTCGATAAATTCTAGGCATGTGACCAACAGGCACTACATACCATGCCATGGTTGCCTATACATTTAAGTAAATAAGGTTGTCATTCAAACATGATGTATTCTTATAAAATTTAATATATTTATGAATAATACACAACCATTGCATAGATAGGAGTG